TCTGTTCTATCGATCCCTTGTTGCATATAGTTTGGTAAGTTTTAGGCTTGTTGCAACACCACAGGCACTCCTAAACACGTGTTAGTCGTGTCTCAAATAAATATAGTTGATCAAGAAATATTTATTCCAGACATTATTACATAACTATTCAGGTTTAACTGCAGTGTCCAACATGCAAATACTTTTGTTTTGTTCTACTAGCAATACTGTTTCTGGTGTGTGTGTGTGTGTGTGTATATATACTTGCATACTTCTTATAAAATACTTATATTTTTAAAAGTATACTTTTAGTTGATAACACTTCGGCCCCATAGTGTTTATAGTTGTATACCATTTAAGGTTCGGTATACTTAGTTCACTATAAATAATGGATCTGATACTAATCTGTCACACCGCCAAACCGAAACAGAGGAAACGTTTGTGGGTGGAGGACGTCATGTACATTATCACAACAGTTATATCATAGTAATCAAAGTAAACACAACCATTACATTGAACATATAGGTATTTACATATGGTTGATATATAGTTTGTATACATCAAAAGTAGAGCAAAGGGTAAAAAGATGCAACTCTATATGCTACGTCTTCTTAAAAGCTTGTGAAAGTACCTATCTAGTGAATTCCTGAGAATACAAACGATTTTGAAAGAGTATCAGCATTAAGCTGGTGAGTCCATGTGAATGTTTTTGGAATGTAAACCTGTCATTGAATCTGTAAAAGAATGTTTGTATGCTTCCCAAGAAAATCCAATATTTTCTAACATATGTGTTTGTTACTGTGTTCCATAAAGTATTAGTTCGTATGCCGGGTTACCACCAGCTGTATGTTATAATGTTGTTTTGAATGAGAAACTTGGCTACCACCAGTAGTGTATAGAATGTTCAGTTTGAAAACACTGGTCACCACCAATATGTATAGTAGATTCTCTACTTAAAATAAAACCATGAATTGTATTCCCTGGAATCCTCCAGTGTAATGTATAGTAGTTCTATTAGTTAAAATAAAACTAATGAAGAATGAAATCTCGTAAACAAAGGTTAGTTTATACTATTGTGAGTCGTATAACAATGCTTGATATGAATGATCACCTCTACGACATTCTTCAGGCGTCGGACGGTATGATATTTGTCAACCCAAGCATGCCTGTCTAATTGTAGCTAGCAGTTCAGGTGTGGGATTGTTAGTCCCGAATAGATCTATTCACAAATCTCATGCTCTCCCTCCAGGAGACTTTGGTTACACTAAATGATAGGATTTCGGCCGTATCCCGAAGGGTACAATGGAAGAGATGTCTCACAATCATGTCTTAACTAGTTTACGTGTGGTTTTGTATAGTTCTTTTGTATTTGAATCCGTTTGTATACCTTGTAGAGTAACAATGATTATACTTAAATAATTATTTCGTGTTCTACTCTTGAATCCAAAAGTAGTAATGTATATCATAAGCTAAGTCTTCCATAGTTTATGTGTTTGTTAATGTATAAACTATGCATCAGTAAAAGTATGTATTGAAATCCCAAACAATACATATTATAGTTTGCAGGGTTATGTACTTGGTTCATGTATTGATCTAAAAACTATGCAATTATGGCTGTAAGTTGAAAACGTCTCTTATGCTCAACATGTTACAAAATGGATAAAATATCTAAAATGTTTTATAAAAATAAGTGATCTTTTAGTTGTATAAATTGTATAAGTTTTAATCCTATGAAATTCTTTTGCTTAAGCTCACAAAAATCATTTGTATTTGACTTCTATTCCTCCACCGGAAAACATTAAAAATAGAAAAGCGTAGGGGTATGAACTCACAGTTAATTGCGTTAATGTGTTGGATTGTTATACTGGAATGAGGACCCTCGAGTTGTTTGTGGAATTAACGGAATCCTAATAATAATTAAACACATATATGCATTTTATTAGCGAAACCATTAATTATAGTGTTGGAAAACACGTGCTTTTGGTTTAGGAATGTTACCGAGATTTGTTTGAATCGGAAAAATAGGTGTTTAGCTAAGTTCATGGTTTAAGGTGATTGCCGCCATGAACAGTTCTCGGCCGTGAACATATTTCTATCCTTGAATGGTTTACGGTCCTTGAATGGTTTACTGCCTATTCTTGGTGTTCTTTGTGAAAATAAGAAGATTTGAAGGGTTCACGACCGTAAACTCAAGAATGATGAATGCTTGATTTGATGAAAATGATGTATGCTTGATGCTCCAAAACAAGTTCTAAGGTGGATTGGATGAATTTTGGATGATAGATGAGGGAATTCTTGAGTTTTCGATTGGTGGTTTTAGAGAGAGAAATTAGTGTTTTCAACCGGTCTTGGAGAAATGATGGTAAAAACATATATGTAGGTTGGGTTTACTGTCGGATGTGGGTCGCCGACCGTGAACGGTTTACGGTCGTGATCGGGTTCACGGTTGTGAACACCAACCTGATAGGATTTCGCTAATTTTCAAAGAAAAACCCGGGTTTTCGCGGTATTTTGGGTCTAACTCTTATATAAAATTTAATTATATAAATTAAATGATTTTCCAAAGCATAAGATTTTAATGGAACAAATAAAATTTTAAAATTTTATTTAACGGAACTTGACTAAAATTGATGGAAAATGGTTTGTGTTGTCACAATAAATGATTATATTGTAACTTCTAAACCAAAAAACAATATTTAATGTTTTAAATAATTAAAATAATAGAAATTAAAAGGTTAAGTTAATAAGTTTTTAAAAAATAATAAACAATAACGACAACTATAAATAACGTTATACAATATATCATTTTTTATTTTCATTCATGTATAATCTGTAGATAAAAGTTATTCAAACGATTGAAATTATCTAATTTTAATAAATGTAGATATTATTATATAATTTAAAATAATCAATAACCTAGCATATGAATTATTATATCAAATTCAACATTAAAAAAATTATTTTATATTTATAAATATATGTTACCTATATAGATGTAGACGCATAGAGTCTTCATAAATTAATGCATATATAGTTTAATAAACGTTTTCCATGACATCACAATATGGACCCGTATGAAAAGGAAAGTAAATGACCAATATCTTCGAACTAAATGCTTGTACCCCCTAACAAAATATTACATTCAAGGGTAGACAGATGACCATTTAAGAGTAGATGCATGTCGACGCATATTTAATGTACTGTGAGCGTTGACTCAATAGGACAATATTTGACGCGTGATATATACATGATTAGAAGATGTTATTTGACCCCGATGAGGAATCTTATAGAAAGACCATACTTGATGAGTGATATTTACTATATAAATAAATAACATTTTGTAAAACTTATCGTGCCCCTTACATCAATTATCTTATGCTACCCCGAATATATGAATTGTATAGCATTATTTGGTACGGCTGCATTATCGATTCCTACAAGGATATATTCAACACATTGGAGCACATGATGGATTTTTTCGTGTTAAATATATTTTAAGTTTAACAATCTGACATGATATTTTGTTTATAATTAATTTAGTAAGTAAAAAAGTACAATCATACATTCTGATTGTTACAGTAAAAAAAAATTACTGGGATTAATGATTTTTTTTAAAATTATTTAAAAATGGGTTTGACTTTAGTGAAAGTAGAAAAATAACACACAACGTTAGAGTTGCACATGAATTTCCTATTAAACACATTTTTATAGAAAAAAACATTTTGATAATGTTCCAAATACTCAAAGGGGAAACCAATCTTACAATTAAAAAAATAGAAAGAATTATTTTACTATTTAAGTGGATGTTGCTCTAACTCAATTGAAAATTAGATTTAAGCCAATACAATATTTTGAATCTATTTTTGGATTTTTGTTTGATTATCCAAAGTTCAAAGTTTTACTTGACGATGAATTAAAAAAATATTGTGTGGAACTTGAAACTAGTTTGACAAACTTGATACAGATGGTATATATATAATTAGAAATTTTGCAGGTAATGTTGATAGATAAACTATACAAATGTGACTTCATTGGACAACTATTTGAAAATGAACATATTTATATAAGTTTTTATTGACAATACCATTTATGATTGTTTTTGTATAAAGAAGTTAATTTTTTTATTTAAGTTATTGGAATCATATATGGAAAGGATCATGATTCAAGAAATATTATACGGATTAGCAAATTTGAGTATCAAAAGTCATTTTCTATAAATTCTTTTTTATGATAAAGTAAAGATACGTTTTTGCTTAAAAAAAATACACCAACACATCCGTTGAAATGAGTTTTTATTTATTTTCGTTTGTTTAACCTTAATATAGTACTTTGACTATGAAATTTATTTTGAGTTTTACTCTATTTTTTTTTCAATATAAAGGCAGTCATTAATTATTTGGCCCAGAGCATTGAAAGTCAAATACGGTCTCTTATTAGAATTACCGGCAAATTTCATGCTTATGATATTTTCTTAATTTTCTGACGCTTTTCCAACCAAACATATATCTATGAAACATGTTTTCTACGGATTTCCAACTAAATGCCTTTTGTTAACAGGTTATTTAATATTTGTTTACAGTTTTTCCGACCAAATGTATTCCAACCACAATATTTACTACACATAACCGACCAATTCTTTGTGATACGTAATTAGTTACATATTTACACTTAAATACAATCAAAATGTAGTGTTGTTTCCCTTATGAGCATCGGCCAATTAGGGTGCTCAAAATCCACATTTTTTTAGCCAGCATTACCACCGATTATTCAAAGTTCAAACATTATTGAGTTGCTCGAATTTTATCACCCCTTCGCATCAAGAAAATAATTCCCTTTATTTTAATCAAATGTTATTAGACGGAAAGGCAGCATGACTAAAAAGATGTCATTTTCAGTGATAAGACTAAAATGAGAAAAAAAGAATTGAGACTAGACGCAGTATATTCTCAGTGACATGGATAAGGTCATAGGGCAATAATCGAAGGAAATCTAAAGGATAAGACACAAACTGAACTAGATCTTCAATTTATGAAAATATTGTTTTCAACATAGGAATCCATCATTGACCAGAGACACTCATCTGTCATCATCAAATCCTGGCTAGAATATTGAGAGCTGAACTCGTTGACAAAATTAAAAGGTGACAACAACTTATTTCCTAATGGTGTTATGGCATCAATGTCTGTTAGAAATGGGTCACTCCAGAAATTATCTTCAAGTTCCTCATCGAATGTTTGTGGTGTTAAGTCACTAAAAAGTGCACAATCTGAGCCACTCAACTGACACGATGATATCTCTGTGAGTGAGGAATATGAAGGTGATCCAGATGATACTCCTGCCAATAAATTTTCAACATCGGGTTGATGTTGTAGATCTGTCTTGTTAACAGTATTTTCTTTAGAGTTAGCCTGATCATATTCTAGGGTTCCTAAGTGTTCAGTTGAAGACACATTGTGGTCACTCTGAACTCTCTTCTTCAAATGTGTGTTCCAACGATTTTTTATCTCATTGTCGCTTCTTCCAGGTAACTTCATAGCTATTGTTGACCATCTGCGTTAAAAGTTAAAAAATCTATTTAGAAACAGAAAATGTGATAATGTGATACATAATTTTGTTAGCAGAAAAGGTTATCAGGACTTACTTGTTTCCGAGCTTGTTATGTAAATCAATAACCAGATCGTCTTCTTCTTTTGTAAAATTTCCATGTTTAATATTTGGGCGAAGATAGTTCATCCATCTCAACCTGCAACTTTTACCACTTCTAGACAAACCTTAACAAAAGAAATCAAAGACAATAAGCATGTGTCCAAATCCATGTGATAAAAATTTGAAGACGTTGAATTAAAAGTGACTTCTAATACCAATAAACTTGGGAAGTAAAGCCCAGTTCCAATGGCCATATCTTTGGATGTAAGCTCTTAACTTGTTGTCTTCATCTTCACTCCATGCACCTTTTTTCAACCCATTGCTGTCGTAACGTGCTGACTTCACCATCTTTCTGCTTTCGAACTCTGTATAGATCTATATACCTACGATGGTTAATTAACATAAAATTACATCTCTCTTTCACTTGAACTATATAACCGTTAAGCCTTGCAAGTGACAACGTGCTGCGATAGAAATAACAGTTGTTTGTTTCAAAGAAAGTACAAAATATTAGTTACAGAACTACACACGAAAGTTCCTACATATATTTTTTATTTTGATGATGTAAGCACACCACACGTCATACGCTCCGGTTAACATATTTTAGGATTCATTTAAGGAAGAGAAAAATAGTAACATGCAATGGTTTCATCGGTAAATGCAACTATTTACAATAATGACTCTATATATCTAATTAAGAAAATTACAAATTTGGTTATTGCGGTTTGCTAATTTCTTTTGTTCCAATAGATTGCAAATTTTATCATTTTTAGTTAGTATGATTGTTGATTTGGTATCTAATTTTGACAAAGTTAGTTAATCTTTGTTAGATCCTTGTAATTTACCAATTCATTTTGTTTTTTTTACTGCTATCCACTTCAATTACTATTGCCTTACAGAGAGAAAGAAACGGAAATGAAATCGTTACTACGTCGATTGACATACACAAAAGAAATATATATAGAAAAGGAAAGAACAACTAATTAACGATAACAAACTATAACAACATAGAAGTAAATATCATAACTGACTTAACTAACTAGCTGACGTGACATCAATAATTAGCATCCCCATCAAGTTGGAGAAATGGAAACTCCAAACTTGTTAAGTAAGTGATAGTGATTCTTGCTAGGAGGATTCATGATAAAGATATCAGCTACATAAGAAATATTTGGAACATGTTAAAGAGAGAACAATCCTTCTTGCAATTTTTTTGGAACAAAATGACAATTAAGTTCCACATGTTTTGTTGTCTCATGGAACACAATATTTTTGGATATGTAAATGGTTACTAGACTATCACATTGATTAATGATCTATTTCTTCAAATTCCATGATATAGGGCTTCCTTTAAGCGTAATAAAGAATCCACTTATGTTTCTTCTTGAAAGAGGGTGTGCAGCCCAATATGAGTTACAGTAAGCATGGGAGCGGGGTTCCATATATATGAAGAGCGGTTTCCATATGTGGTAATCATGGGTCAGACATGAATTGACTTAAATGTCAAATAGTAAAAGCAATGATTGGTCTTGTATTTGTCAAGAAATACAATTTTCCATAAGCCTTTAATATAATTATGGATGAGGTAATATATCACCTTCATTCATTAAGAACATAATATTTGAAGGAAGTGGACAAAGAGCATTTCCTTCACATTGGAATTCTAAAAGTAAATATGTTCTTAAATTCCATTGAATTAATACAACTCCATTAGATGAGTATAGAACTTCTATTCCAAGGAAGAAATTTAAAAATCATAAATCTTTAATCTTGAACTTGTCATCAAGGATGATTTCAATGGAGTAATTTCTTTAAAACTGTTTTCTGTCACTATTATAACTATTCGGTTTTAGGTTACAATAACAATGTACTTGCGAAGTTTCACATAACACTTATGGATATGTGCAACCTAAAACATTTTATGACTTTTCACTATTAATAGCAACATACTTTATGAAAGAAAACTATAACCCGATGACAATAAAAATAATATATAGGAAACATACCTTTTCTTAAATTGAATTAAGCTAATCAAACTCTTTGAATATCTCATTGGAAAAATTGCTCCCATTATGTAGTAGCCTCTAATACATCAGACGAAAACCCTAGGATTGAATATACAAGAGAGGGGAGAGAAGAAAATCAGGATTTCTCAATATATGAGAGGTAGTGGCTGATTTTGCTTAAAGGGGCCTCTATTTATTCCTGCTAGATAATCTAGAAACCCTTAATTCGAATAATAAAATAATAATATTTTATTCTTATTCAAATTGTGTTTCCTTATCTGACTAAGAAGCTTCCTGAAATCCTAAAGAGAACTCCTAGTGTCGTCTATCCTGCCAGATAATCTAGAAACCCTTAATTCGAATAATAAAATAATAATATTTTATTCTTATTCAAATTGTGTTTCCTTATCTGACTAAAAAGCTTCCTGAAATCCTAAAGAGAACTCCTAGTGTTGTCTATCCTAGGAAGCTTCTTGATTCACTAATTTGCCCAACTCTTAAACAACTATAGTCCAATATATATACCTCTAATTAATTCTAATTAACCAATAATTAATTTCAAAATAAATTCTAATTATTGATTATATGGCCAACCTAAAAAGGATTTTACTTTATTCATCAAGATTATACCACTTTCGGTAAGACCTTAGACATATAATCCAACAGTTTCCCACTTGGATAAGTCACCCACGAAAATTGCAAGTGTAACTCCAAATAACAAGTAAAGAGCATTTTCCAAAGAGAAAGCTAAACCTTGATTACATCAGATGTTAGCCATAAGATAAGTGATTAGCTAGCTTTCATTCTTCCTAATACTGTAGGGACACGAGACATGGATTAGAATCAATTTCATGGTCCAAGATTTTGTTTCTCTATTTTCCAATTTGTGATGACATCATCAGACTACTAATTGAACACATCAATTTAGTCCCAGCTAAGCCCATAATTATAATGTCAACATTAGATGACCGAGGGGCCCAAAGATGTCGTTTTTCCTTAGAACGCAAAAGGAACAAATAAACATTAACTATATAATCATACATTTTACAAACCAAATCACATATGGGATTACACTTTTATATAATCCTGTTACGGATGACTTGATGCAAACAAATGCACAGCAAGTTCGTAAACTATGGCTTATATATCTCCATTTAAGAATAGAAGATTTTATCATCTCAGAATTACTTGTGCTTAATTCCATGAAGTAATCTCTAAGTATGGGTTATTCAATACTCAAAATCCCTATTTTCTAAGTACTCATGAATCTTGTAGCAATCCCTATGCAATGTTCAATCCCTGTGGACAATGTACAAAAAATTCATGATAGTCTTAAATCAATACTTACTCTTAAAGTATGAGAGACTATGACATTTTGAATAAATTAATGTTCAAGAATTAAAGCACATCAATAAATTAAATGACTAATGGAATCACACACCTTGAACAGAAATAATTTTCTATTTTTTTTATCTCCATTCAATTACAAATTATTTTTGCTACGTTGTTTCAAAACTATTAACTAACTACTAAAATGTACAATCAAATACAATCTCTTAGCTCAATGTTCCTAGCATGTTTAAAGTGCTTAATATTTCTTAAAACCTTTGTGATAAGATGAAAAAGATTATCCTTTAATGAAACACACCACGAGTTTGCATTTTACAACCTTATGTATGATATAATGGTACTTCCTTTCGGCATGTCACGATCCACCATGATCCTTCAGTTCTTTGGTCAATGCAACCACAAACCTCAATATCATAGAACACCTACATGGTCTCTTGGATTGATGGAACAACTATAAGATCTCCGATGAAATTCTTTAAACATGTCGTTTTCTTAGCCACCTTACTTGCTACGATGTTCACCGATTCATAAGTAGAATAAGCCACAATTAGTTCCTTGGATCATTTCCACGTTATTGCTCCACCATTCAATAGAAATTCACAGTCAGATTACAGATAACTGTTATTCCAATCTGTTTGAAAGTTGGCGTCATTATAAGCAATTATATTATGTTTATCTTTGCCACTAAAAACTAAGATTATATCTTTTGTTTTTTGCAAATACTTAAGAATGTTTTTTTAGACTTTTCCAATGAGGTATAAAAGGATTTCCTTGATATCTACTAATGATGCTCAAAGCATTTGCCACATCAGGTCGAGTATAGGTCTGAATATACGTGATCAATTGTTACACCCCTAAACCAGAATGACGAAAACGTTCGGGGGTGGATGATGTAATATACAGTATCATATCAATTGCATAATAGAGATCAAAGCATTACAAACATTGTATTGATAATTCAATATTTACATTGTATTTGAATCATTGCTTGACTCAAAAAGTATACAACAAAAATATAAGACGCAGTAATTCTAGGCTTAGTCTTCACCAAAACCTTTATAGGTACCTGTCTACTGATTTCCTGAGAATACAAGTGGTTTTGAAAAGTATGTCAACAATTAAGTTGGTGAGTTTATAAGAATTTTGTATGAGAAGTGCATGTATTTGTTGCTTGAAAATACTAGTGTGTTCTTCAAGAAGATCCAATATTTTCTTTAAGCCCACAAATACACTTTTCAAGCCTCGATACCTTAATATGGAATTTGGCATGTTCAAAACATTCTACTTGAGCCATGTAAACATCCTTAGTTTGTTTCCCAACAAGGAAATCAGTTTGCATATCCATTTTCCATGCTACATAGTTATGATGAGCAGCTATGGCAAGCATGATGGGTTTTATAGATTACAATAACTATGTGTTTGTGGAATTTCACTTAACATGTAAGGGCACATGAAACCTAAAGGATCTATGACTTTAGCACTTTGAATGTAACATCCTATGAACAACAAAATAGTTTAAAACCTAATTAAACCATAATATAATAAAATATAGGAATTAGATTTCCATACCTTTGATTTGTTGTAGTAACAAATCACTTCAAACTCCTTATATAAAACCTTGAAAAACAAGCACCAGAATTCTTGTGCCACTGATGGCTCACACCTAAAACCCTAGAAACCTTAGAATAAAGAGGAAAGGGAGTGAATAGAGGTATAATTTTTGTTTTTAAGCCTTATGGAAAGAGCATTAACAAAATTGAGGCTAACAGGGATTCTATTTATATTTTAGGTAACTTAGCGACAAAGCAAGATTTGAAAATTTAAATAAATATTTAATCCCTATTCAAATCTTTCCATTATCTGCATCTAATACGCTTTTGGAAACCCTAAGGAGGCTCGCAAAACTATCCACCCTTTGGATGATTCTATAATTGCTTCTTTTGATCTGCTATTGAACAATTAATATTCACCATTGCACTTTTAATTAATTCC